GACTATAACTTAAAAAATATTTGATTTTTTTCTTCAAAAATTTCACTGTATATTCTTGAAATGTCTATTAATATATTTGTAAAATTTTGAAATAATTGATAAAGTATTCTTTTTAATAAAAATTCCCAAAAATCACGTTTTTTAGCTCATTACACTAGGTGTGCCCCTTAAGGTCCAAGTTTTTATGCAAAATACAGTGTAATGACGTTTGTGGAATGCCCTTTTCCAATTTTTCACATCACTGATTTGTCCCAACAGCTATACTTTTTTCCAACAATTTCTGTATTGCGGTCCGACAGTATGCTTCAAGACGACCAAGCGGCGTTTTAGTTTCACGAATTGTCTCTGCGTTTACATGTCAAACGTCAAAAAAAGACAGCTTCAATAGTGGCATCTACCGGACTGGAAGGCTATTAAAAGTAACATCTTTTTTTGGAAAACTTTTAGTAAAGGCTTTTCCGGATAAGGGTAGAAGTGTTAGTCACTTAACGCAGTAGTGTTTGAGGCATGTCTAGAATGGACACCCGATAAAGGTGAAAGCTCCAACAGGCAGCTGAAAATTTGAAAAATATTTTTGATCATGATAGTGTAATGTTCCATCATGCACGACTGTTATCCTACAGCCAGACTCTTAATTCGGTTCTGTATTGTTAGCGTTTGAACCGTCTGAAGGAAGCATTTACCCAGTCAACGCCCACTTGGGACGAACCGTATTTTCTTAGGACAAAGCCAGATCACACACATCAATAGAGACTCGCCAGAGAGCTTGGTTGGTAGGTTCTGATGCATCCACCTTCTAGTCTGGACCTCGCTCCGAGGGATTACCATTTATGCCTGTTTATGACGATTGATTTGGCTGGTGAAATTGGCCTCAATGGAGGCATGTGAAAATGATTGTCCCAATTTTACGAATATAAGTACAAGGGTTTATAAGAGATTATGCCTCTCACCTACATTGTATTACATAGATCCGCTAACTCTAACTCTGATAGATAAAGTCTTCAATTTAATCCCAAAATAATGGATTATTTTTACTAGACCACATATATTTCAAATATATGTAAATCGATTGAAATCTTCGCTCAATTTACATTACATTTGCATATAAAAATTTCCAATAACAAAAATTAAAATATCTTGGTTATTAAGAAGAATATTTTAACTGAAAATTTGGAAGGAGAAACGCATCAATATCCGCAATCGGATGCTGAAAATGTCACTTTTAATATAAAAATGGAAATGGCATTAAATTTAGTTTGTTTGAAAACAACAAATATATATTTAGATATATGTAAATATATCCCATTCTTTGTATTTACTTACTGTATTAGCCACATATAGATACATACATATGCATATGTATGTACCTCCAACCAAAATTTGACAGCCAAAGAGAAGATTCCATGCCACATTGCTTGTTTTAGCGGCAAATATAATTGCACGTGTATGCGCGTGCATATGTATGTTTGATTTTCATTTTCCTAACAAAAATAAAATTTTAAATATAGCCATAAATAAACATACATATAGATTTTATAGCGTCACATCCGAATATGTCAAGTAATTATCTCTTTCATATTTATATTTATTTATTTTTTTTTTTTGTTTATTTTGCCATGGATGTGTGGAATTGGTCGGTAATTTTCTTAGCTCTATGCTGAACTGTGCTGAAATGTTTTCTAAATATTCCAAAAGTAAATTCTTTTCTTCCTGTCGGTTTCACGATCATAGCCGAATCGACAATAAGGGGCCATTTATCTCTTCTCTTCCTTGTTTGGCGCTAGTCTTTCCAACGGAGCGGAGGTCTTCCTCTACTTCTGTCGATGGGTACAGAATCGATGGAATTACGAGTGATTTGTAGAATATGGTTTTTCTTCGTCAAAAGAGGATTTTACTTTTCAATGGTCCCCTCAATCCAAAATAGCACCTCTTAGCAAGAGTAATACCGCTTTGGATTTCAAAGCTGACTTTATTATTGGTATCAATGCTGCTCCCTACACGTAGATAGACTGCCATTCAGCAAGCTGAAAAATTGTTCGGTCCATACATTAAGTATAGCCTGAACATCATTCAAATAGATTTCCACGTTGATTCCTATACATGAGTAATCTCCGGGCTTGAAATCTTCTGTTAGTCAGCGCATCTTTTAATAAAATGCTCGAACATTACCCTAGTCGCCCGTACTCAGAGGGCAATGAAACTTCCGCCAGAAAGTTCCTTATTCTCGAAGGCAGGAACTTTAGTTTTGAATTGCCTACACCGTTCAAGTCTTTCTCTCGAAAACCCCTTAGGCAAAGTCATCAGATGCAGTCATCGTGCGTACCTTAGCATGTCTTTCAATATTTAATATTTCCAAGTTACAGTCCAAATTAGCGCCTGTTGGCAAGTGTGTTTCTATATTGGCTATGAAGGTTAGTTGTAATTGGTTACCAAATTTCCTTTCTTGTCATTAAAGAGTGCTTTAAGATAGACAAAGAGGTATTGTGTGTTGATACTTTTCCACCCTTGACTTCTTCAAGAATTAACGCATGATAAAAATCTGGTCCGTTTTCAAAGGATTTGAAAGAACATTGATTAGGTTCAATCCATTCGCTGACATTGAACTTTAATCTTTCATATAATACGTACATAAGCGATATTTGCGGGAACTTATCTCGCATTTCGCAAAGAAACTAATGCGTACAGCTTGGTAGTTCTTCGCTACCATACCTAAGTGGCTTAGCCAGTTAACGATCGCCTCCCGCTGCTTTGTTGTTTTTCAAGCAAACAATTGCTGTTCGTGCTTAGTCAAAGTTGGCGAATAGAACAGCTATCCCATCATTATCCATTGGAAATGCGGGTTACCTCTATAAACTCACTAAACTCTAAGTAAACTAAGTCATGGTTTGGCAAACATCTAAAATTTTAGAAAATTATATTTTCGCTCATCCTCGGTAGGGTATGCCAAGTCCTGCTAGTGTATAGCTGTCAAGTAATAAAAAACTCCTCATAAAATTCCATTCAACGTAAGAATAAGTTGTCGGTTCATGCATTTGTAGGGAAAAATCAAGACGCATTTAACAAATCGAAAGAGAAGCTCGGCCGAAAATCTCTTCTGCGGTTACAAAGCGCCAAATCATATATATTATAAACTCTGGGTATCGTCTTCATATTAGCTTTTTGGTTAGCTTATAGAAGATAAATTTGGACATATCGCCTTTCGCGTGTCAACAAATCGCACATCAACTTTGAGCTGGTTTATATGGCCGCTGTAGTATATGTCACAAGGACCTACTCGTATCCGCCTTTATTTTAGGTCAGGTCCCTTTTTTTTCATTGGTTTTTCAAAATATGACAACTTTGTGTACATTTGTCCGATTTAAGTCAAATATGCGCCGTTTTGTTCATAAACTTGTTGCCAACGAGATGCTGCGTCCCTATGGGCAAAAAACTCGAAGAGCCAATTTTCACAGGCCTCTCTTCAGGCCAACTTCTTACCATTAAGTGTGTTCGCCATGGACAGTAAAAGATAGTAATCACTTGGTGCTAGGTCCGGACTATAAAGTGGGAGCATTAGGACCTCCCATACGATTTCCTAGAGCTTCTGGCGCGTCGCCAAGACGTGTGTGGCCTGGAAGATGGCCTCTTCAGGACCACCAATCTGGTTTTGGCCACCGTCTGGGCCGCTTCCCTGAGCTTTGACCACGACCGTTTGCTCGATGTTGTTATAAGTCAACCATTTTTCATCTCCAGTCACAATCCGCTTCAAAAACGGGTCGATTTTGTTGCGATTCAGCAGCAATTCGGTCCATCATGTTTTTGTGTTGCATCTTTGACATCGAAATTACCGTAACGGAACCTAGCAAACCACTGTGCTACATGTTCGTTTACAGTAAACTTAGCTAATTTTTTCAGCCGCTTTTTCGCCTTGATCGAAGAAAACTTGTAAAATATAGCGAAGTTTCTCTTTGTTGGTGTCCATCTTTGACCAGCGCTTACAACGTACTGAGTCAACCAATCGAAAAACCTTCAAAGACAAACTTTTAGCGCAAATAAACGCGTTACCAGCACCGTATAGTATGGACAATAACGTAATCTCTTAGATAAAAAAAACCGAACGAACTTCTTACTTAGCCAATATTATCCATTGCTTCTCTCGGACCACGGTGTTGTCAGTTTTAGTTTTATTGAGAACTGAAGCTGGATATACTTGGCTTTCTTTTAACCGCTACTCAATGCTTCATAAGTTTTGATTTCCGCAACTTGCACAAGTTTTGGTCACGTATCCATGGCGTGCCCAAGGTTTGGAATTGAATATTGCACGGCAACTGTAACCCTGCATGCCCTACACTACTTGCTTACTTATTTAATATTAAAAAAAAAAAAATATTAAGCGATGTTTCGTGATAGAAATTAGAATATTCCATACGAAAGGGAACTAAAAAACCCCAACTGGGGCATCTATGTGTATTAAAAAAATTTATTTCAAAAATTTGTAAATAAATCGTATAAAAATGTTGGTATATCGTAATAATTCTAAATATTTATTTTTATTTATTTATTTATTTATTTGTTATATTTATTTTATTTATATTCAAACAATTATTCCTTTGAGTGTTTTTATGTTTTATGCAATTTTTTCTTTCATTTTTAATAATAAAAATTAGATGCGCTCTTTTTTACTTTGATTTAATATATATAAGTATGTATGTAAATATATGTAAATAAATATTATATAAATGTATAACTTAAATTTAGAATGGCTAATTTTTAACAAAACAGAGGTGTAAAGTAGAATTTTTTGAGTTATTTTGGTACACTCTAAATTCCTCTCTACCTTTATCTCTCTCTCTTTTTTTCTCAATGTGCATGTAGATGTACGAACAGCAATATTTGTAAAAACCAGCTGATTATCCTAGCTTTTTTTCTTTTAATAATTTTGTATTAATAAAATATTATAATTTTTTCACAAAATTTTTATTCTTCACATTTTATCAATCGTCCCCTGATTCTCTTCACAGATGTCGCTCTCCACCAATCGGCCACTCTACGAAGAGGAGTGGTTTCACGGCGTATTGCCACGTGAAGAAGTCGTACGTCTACTCAATAACGATGGCGATTTTCTGGTACGCGAAACGATACGCAATGAAGAGAGTCAAATTGTGCTGAGTGTTTGTTGGAATGGACACAAGCACTTCATTGTACAGACAACCGTGGATGGACATTTCCGTTTCGAGGGACCACCATTCCCCAGCATTCAGGAACTGATTATGCATCAATATCAATCGGAGTTACCGGTCACAGTGAAATCGGGTGCCATCTTGCGACGTGCCATTTGCCGTGAACGTTGGGAGTTGAGTAATGATGATGTGGTGTTGTTGGAGAAGATCGGCAGAGTGAGCGTTATAAAAAAAATATTGTTTTTTCGATCGAATTTTTAATAATTTTTTACCACAAATTTCCCAGGGCAACTTTGGCGATGTCTATAAGGCAAAGTTAAAGTCCACGAAACAAGATGTCGCTGTGAAAACCTGTCGCATGACTCTGCCGGATGAGCAGAAACGTAAATTCCTACAAGAGGGACGCATTCTGAAGCAATACGATCATCCGAATATTGTCAAATTGATTGGTATTTGTGTGCAGAAGCAACCGATTATGATTGTCATGGAACTCGTGCCAGGTGAGTGTGTGAAAGTTGGTTCACGTTCACGTTATTACGAAACTATTTAAATGCAACTCTGGCGAAAACTCTTTACTCAAAAACTGACTCTACAAAACTGTATCCTTGGCGCTTTGTAACCGCTGAAGCGATTTTTCGACCGAGCTCCTGCTCCAATTTGTGGTTTTTTGCCCTTTGATGTTTTCCCAACAAATGGTGGGACCTACAGTTTACTCCAAGCCGCCTCCGAACAGCTGATGGTTTCTTTACGAGTAGCCTTTATTTCATGTCCGAAATACACTCGGAGGGGTGGACATTCCCTGCCGAGGGGCGACCGCAATTAGAAAATTTAACTTAATTTTTTATTTAAATTAATTTTCCATAACTTTTAGATGTTGGTGGCACCTGGATATGAACCCGAGCCTTCCGATTGTCAGTACGCAATGCTAACCACTCGTCTACCGCGGCCGCTCCAATGCCGGAGAGAATAGTATTCCTGATAATCTAAGCAAAAAGACACCTATGTGCCGAATTTCAATTAAGCCGAACCATAAATACGATCTTTTGACTAGGTCAGGCCGTAGACCATTACCCGAAAAAGAAATCCCCTTTAAATCTTTACAGGAACCATAAAAACAAACTGACAAATTTCTGCCCAATGCTTTCTGAGGTCACTGGGAACAAGCATAGAAACAAACATTTTTATATTGGGTCAAGTAAAAAGACATCTATTTTTTTGCATTAAGGCTTTATTTAGCATAGGCTCTATTTAACATAGTAAGAATTATGCGATTTATGTCAAATATGCACCGTATGGCTTGTCCCTGTCGGCGAAAAATTCGGAAATCGATTTTTATATGCTTCTCTTAAAGCCAATTCTCCACCAGTCAAATCATTTGCCATAGACACGAGCAATTGGTAGTCTCTGTAAGTGGGGTCCAGACTATAAGATGGATGCCTAAGAATCTCTCATCAAAGCTTTCACGAGTCACAATTGATATGTGTAGTCTGACGTTGTCTTGAAGAAACTCAGTTTCTCTCCTGTTATCGAAAGCTGAGCACTTGCTGGGCGATTGCTTCATTCAGACGGTTCAATTGCTGACAGTAGAGATCCGAATTAAGAGTGTGGCCGTAGAAGAGCAGCTCATAGTTGATGATTACTTACCAAACATACAACAAAACCTTCCTGGCGTCAATTTCGGCTAGGATACCGTTTGTTTCAGTTTACGGTCATTCAATCACGACCATTTTTGTTTCGTTTCGTTGCGGTGAATGATTCACTTTTCATTACATTTTTCGTAACTAATTCGCTTCAATATGGATTGATTTTGTTATAATTCAGCAGCTATTGGCAAATGGAAATTCAGTCCATCTGGGCTTTCCTGATTAACTCATGTGGCATCCATAATAATATTAATATTAAATATTAATTTCCATGTTTTTATCGATATTTTCGAAAATTGGTTTTCCAAATTTTGCAGCATCTTTTACATAAAAATTACCAGAACGAAATCGACGAAACCAAAATTGTGCATGATTGGCTGTTACAGGAGCAGGACCAACCACACAATTCACATTTTCAGCTGCTTGACTTGCGTTTTCGCGTTTAGCAAAGAAAATTTTTAGAATATGGCGTATTTTCTCATTACTGGTGTTCATCTTTGGGATGCCCCTCCATACTATCGCACTTATAGAACATGAGATGCAGATCATTAAAGCCATCTATTGCAAAAATAATGGGAGAACCTTTATTTGACCTAATCTTCAATATTCATATATTATATTTAAGACTTTGTCCTGAATGAGTGGCGCATCAATCCACAGCCTAGACCACTGACCGTAGAGATCTGACACTTGAGGGATGCGTTCTACATATGATGCAGGCCTTCGATAAGAATGAATTTCCGGGAGTGGAAGACCGAACTATTCGAATAAAATCGAGTTAATTTTTAAATCTTTGGATTTGCATGAAATTTCGCTTATCCGTAATATAGGTAGCTCTTGCCTGCCCTGTATGAAACACTTTCATTTCATTTAAAATAAACAACGTAAAGACCCATTAAAATTTTTATTAGAACCATCTTAAAGTGGACGAAGTTCTGTACAAATTTTAATATTTTAAATATAGATAAAAATGTTAGCTTTAATTATTTGAATTGATTTTTAATTTTTATTTAAAATAATTATTTTCAGGCGGTTCTTTGCTCAATTATTTGCGTAAGAATTCAAATTCTCTGACTGCACGCCAACAGATGGGCATGTGCCGAGATGCAGCGGCTGGTAAGTCGGACTTTCGAAGTCATTAACTAGCACTTTATGCATTAATTTTAATGCGATTGATCAATTAATTTTATTTCAAAATAAACAAACTTATTTAATGATATATTTCGATTAATCACAAATTTCCTTACGGGGTTACATGGGTTGCAAAAAAATCGAATTTTTTATGGTCTTACGGTCTTCAACATAAATTATTCCAAGCTTTTAAGATTATCCAAATAAAAGTTTCGGAGATATCAGCGATTTTAAATTGAAATACAGGTATACAACTTTGCTTCCGCCGTTTTCCGATAGGTAGGTGTACCGACTGAGGCTGGTTGAAATACATAGATGATAATGACTTTAAAGTGAGTGTGGACAGTGCCTAACGACTTGTCATCGCCGTTTCAGTGACAGTTGTTGTTGTTTTCGTATTATTCACGCTCGAAAATGTTCGTTTATATGCCTAAATCTCGCCATTTGCGGGAAGTTTTACTTACAAAAATGCAGCTGAAGCGCATCGAATNTAATTTTGGAAAAAAACGGCGGAAGCAAAGTTGTACACCTGATACGTTTTTCACAAAGCTGGGTTTTCAAAACCGGTGGCCGAAAGCTCTCGAAAACCGCTTAAGCGATCTTGATGAAGTGTTACACAGGTCTTACTCGAGATACAATTCCAGAGAAATTGAACGAAGGACTGATATTTTCAAATTTTATCATTTAATAAAAAAAAATAAAAAAAAACATCAGCCAAAAATCGAATCTTTACTTAATTGTTTTACTTCATCCAAAACTTTGGTTTTTGGTATTAACCAAAGCAAAGTTATTTTTACTTCGGCTGCTGCTGCTCTGAGTTCTACTGTCAACGTAGATATACCTTTCATCCGAGGTTTTACCGGGAATTGCATCACATTGGAGGAGCCATAAAAATTTTCCTTTGAAAATTTCAGAAATTATGTATCTGTAGGGTAGTAAAAAGTTTTAATAAAATATGTTAATTTATATATAAATAAGAGTTGTTGAAAATACACAATTTTCCGCCCAATAAAGGCATGTAACCCCATAAGGTTAACTGTACTGTCGACTCAATTAAGTGGTTAATTGATTTATCTGATTTTAATTAATTAATAATTAAGATTAATCGATTAATATTTATCACCTCCAACATTTCTATATTTGTTTTGCTTATCATTTTTTGTATCACTTAATTAATAAAATATACTTATATAATATATATTTTTTTCATCCAGGCATGCGCTATTTGGAATCGAAGAACTGTATACATCGTGATCTCGCTGCACGCAATTGTTTGGTTGATTTTGAAAATTCTGTAAAAATCTCCGATTTCGGAATGTCACGTGAAGAGGAGGAATATATCGGTAAGCTTTCTTGGAAAATTATTTTTTTTTATTATTAATATTAATTTTGTATTTTTCATTTAAATTATTACTTTCTTTTAGTTTCCGATGGCATGAAACAGATACCCGTCAAGTGGACAGCGCCGGAGGCATTAAATTTTGGCAAATATACCTCATTGTGTGACGTTTGGTCTTACGGCATTTTAATGTGGGAAATTTTCTCCAAAGGCGACACACCCTATTCGGGTATGAGTAATTCGCGAGCACGTGAGAGAATCGATGCAGGTGAGTGGTATAACGGTTAAAAACAGTTGTGATGTAAAATATATGATACGAAAATGTAGTGACCTGTCATAAAATACTTCTAAACAGAGTTGAGAGTGGCTTTTTAACCCCGTCAGTTTCTAGAAGGCTTTTATTTTCATCACTGCAAGGTCTAAAAGACTAAAAATGTTTTGTAAATGTTTTCTTAGTGAAATCAATCGAATCTTTTTCCTTTATATCAACATATTAGGACACTTTTTGACTTGAGATATATAAAATATTTAATCTTCCACCAGTCAAAATATCTACAACATATGGGAATTGGGGCCTTATAAACTTCATTGCTCTTCAGTAATTCACTCTCAGAAGTCTAAGCCAACTGTAAACAGAACGATTTGTATTTCGAGACCTTTTATTTATTCAAAAGTCGTACTTTCAGTCCTTTTGTCGAGCTTTGATTTTCAAAGCTCATTTTCTGTATAACCACAGTCTCTTCTAAATTCCCACCATGACCGGTCAATGAAAACTTATTATACTTACTAATTTTTAATCGAAATTTACTCGCTCAGAAGTACTCGTATGATAAACTCATTCGATTTTCTTGGTGTTCCACAAAGCATATTTTTTAAATAATGCTGGAAAGTAATTACAAGCACGGTTCGGATAGTTCATCACTGACTTCAAGAGAAGTCCTCAAACGAAGTGAGTGCTTCATATTGTTGTTGTTGTAGAACAACCCCACCAAACCGCTGGTAAAATTAGTCTAATCATATTACGTAAGGTCCAGGAAACGCGTTGTTTTGACGGTTTTCTGAAAGGAGATGAGTTGCATGTAGCACATACATTAGGCATGTTGAAGTCAAGTCTGGATAAAAGTGACGGTTCAGCCTATTATAGTATCCTGACCTCAGATATGGCAGTATCACTCGGTTCTTGCAAGACAGCTCGAGCTCTTTGTCGTTGCTATAGTTTGTGGTTGGATTGCGAGCGCTCTATTCATTGGAAGAAAGTTTATAAGTTGACGAACTCAGTGTGAATGTCGTTTAGAGATTGACAGATTTGTTTTGGTTCTACGTGCCGAAATTGACGAGCTCAGTGTGAATGGCGTTTAGAGCTTGCCAGATCTGTTCTGGTTCTACGTGCCGGAGTTGTCCCGGATTTTATTCGGACATGGGCGACTTAACCCCATTCACAGAATGAAAAAAGTCTTGTTTACGAGTGCGCAGATATTTGAAAATTCTTGACAAAGAAGAATCGAGCTCTTGTAGTCAAACTATAAGTTATAGTTGAAGTCGAGTTCTAACCTTCTCCTCTATTTACCCTGCAATACTTGAGACTTTTCTAGCTTTACTTCGCTCCTACGATGGCTCCTATGATGACTTTACAAGTAAAGAGCGGTATGCCCAGACTTTGCCATGAAGGGAAAGTGAAAATGAACTGTCCTTCCTTGCAAGCTTGTTCGATATTTCCTTATCTGGTATGCTAAAATATTCTAGTACCCATACTAGATGGGTCAAACCCATCGCGATTAGTGACTTCCGGCAGTTCTCTAACGTTTTTGATTTCATTTTGATAGATTTCTGGACTTTTTGTGCTGTCTGTACACTTCAGAGGCCATTTAACGACCTACAACAGTTCCGCTTGAGAAGCATCAATGATCCGACAGTCGCAAGAATTTGAATATCCCACGATCCGCTAGCTATACTTCGCCGTTACCCTTGAAGGTTTAACCCAACCGTGTACAAATGGATTGACTCTGTTAAGTATGCTGGAACAACCCTGTCTTATTTGTTTCTATCTGGAAAACCCACCCCTATATGGCGGACGCGGTAGCCAAGTGGTTCGGAAGGCCCGGATTCAAATCCTGGTATGACGAACATTCAAAAGTTATAGAAAATTAATTTCAATAAAAAAATAAATTAGATTTTCTAATTGCGGACCCCTCCGAGTGTATTCCTGACATGAAATAAATGCTCCTCATGAAAAACCATTAGCCCTTCCCAGGCGGCTTAGTATAAACTGTTGGTCCCTCCATCTGTTGGAAAAGGTATCTAGATGCAAAACCACAAATTGGATGAGGAAGTCGGCCAAAAATCGCTTCAATGGGTACAAAGCGCCAATTAAATATACATGACCGTTGTTTATCAACATCCATTCAGACACTTTCTGCAGTCTCACCGCAGAACTTGTACGTAGAAATGATATCCTTTGTAATCTCTGGAGTTTACAAGTAGTCTTCTCGAGTGGTGGCCACCAGAAAATTATTTCGTTGAGAAGAATAGTCCTAACTCTCGCAGTATATAGCCAATGCTCCACCTAAAGTGACGTGTTCAATTTCTGTTCAATGGCTCGCTTTCCCATGCAGAGATTTCTATACAAGGTACCAAGAGAACATTCACATAATTTCGCATCAGAATTTTCAAGAACTTTCTTTTGATGCTCCCAAACTCAATGTCATTACGCCTCTCTCATATAAAACCCTGTCTCTATAAGCAAAAATTTGGGAAATTCGATTTTCATAGGCTTTTCTTGAGGCCATTTATTCACCAGATGAACCTTCTGCCATAGAGAGGTCCTGACTATTAGGTGGATGCACAAGGACCTATCAACCAAGCTCTCTGAGCTTCTGACGTTTGCTTCATTCAGACGGTCCAATTGCTGACCGTCACCCTTCGACCGAGAGAGTTTTCAATTCATGTTGCTATAATTGATCTACTTTTACGATTTAGCTGATGGAAATTCGGTTCACGAGGTTTTTTCTCGTTAACTTTAACGCCATCCAGAGTGATGCCATCGCACGTGTGGAACGCGAGTTACAGATCACTAAGGCCATCTATAAAAATAATGGTTAACCTTTTACTTGACCTAACATTTTTAATTTTATTTTAAATTAATTTTCTTTTAATATTCAATCTCTCTCTCTCTCTACTTTTCTTGCACTTCCAGGCTATCGCATGCCCACACCGGAAAATACACCACCCGAAATGTATCGGCTCATGTTGAAATGTTGGTCAGCTGAAGCGGATGCACGACCGCATTTCGATGAAATCTACAATGTTGTCGATGCACTGATAATACGTTTAGATAATAGTCATTAAATGCAATAAAATTAGAGATAATAAATATGTGTATGTGGATGTGTGTAAAGCAAGTAACCTAAAAAAAAAAAATCATAAGATATTTTCATACGGTATATGTTTACAAACATACAAACAAGCATATATATATATATATATTAAGGCATATATTATATATAATAAGACGTTGTAAATTGTGCTAAACTACATACATACATACATACATACATAATATTAAGGTGATATATATTTATTTATACATGCACATACACGTACGTGTATACATACATACAATATAAATTTGCATTATGTATAAAAAATGAAATATGAAAAATAAAAATAAAAAACAAAAATAAAAATATTAAAAATAAAAAACAAATAAAGAAAATATGAAAATGTAAAAAAACCGGCAAAAGATTTATATTTTATAACGCATATACATACATACATACATTGTATTTTAAGACATTGCAAATTACTCATTTTTTATATACCACATCTCTATGTCTATACGTACGTACATACATACTTACTTACATATGCATCTACTAAGTCGCAGCCGCTTTAGATTAATACAATAAAATCGCTAAATGACTTTATAATTTTATTACTTGCGCTTGTGTAAATATTTATTTCGTATTAACAAAGTTGCAAAGTGTGTGTGTGTGTATGCAAATTTTGCAGCTATGAAAATACGCGCGAAATTCTAATGCAATTTTGTTTATTGATATTTTAGTTTTAGTTCAAATTTTTTATTTTTTTATTTTCAGTTATATTTTTTTTTTTGTTTTTGAAAATTTATTGCGGCGAGATAAATCATTTGCAATGATATACTGTACCCTCGATGTGCCAAAAACAAAAAGAAAAGCAAGCAAGTTTATAAATGTAAACCGAATTGTAAGCGTCGATCAAGGCAAATTCACACACGGTGGTATCAAGAATACAAAAACAAAAAGCCTATGTAATTTGTTTGTATAATCGTAGTTTCGAAAAGTCAAAAAATAAAATTTTTCAATATATTTTGTTTGTGTATTAGAAAGTTCGTATTGTGAAAACCTATTCCCCATGTATTTTGTTTGTGTAATTTGTTGAAATCGAAGGAAGAACAAGCAATGATATGATCTGACAACTTCACTTTCTATAAATTCGCCTTGACGTCGATTTGCAAAATGTTTCTGTTGGCTTGTGGTTATTATTATTATAATTTAAAAATATTTTTTTTTTTATAATTCTTTCCCAAGTTTATTAAAGTAGATCTTTAAGTTTATTAGCGCACATGCTTATTGGGCATGTACATAACTGTTAAGGCTTTTTTGTTGCTTGTCAGTGAAACGGTTTTGTAGAGTTGCGTATTTAATATATAAGGAATTTTGTTTCGAAAATTTTTATATTTATGTTATAAATGACGCATATCTGGCGTTCAATAAAGTAATTTTTTATTTAAACTTTAATTATAATACATAATAATTCGTTTTTAAATGCAGACATATTAATTACATTTTTTTTTTTTGTAAATCATAAGTTTTATTCCTTACATTGGTCAATTCATGATTAGGCTATTAGTGGCGTGACATCATTTCACTGTCGTTGCTCATTCAAATGTAAAATATGCGCTTTGTTTTTTTTTTTAATTTTATTATTTTTTAACTACTTTTTAAAAAATCATTACAATCGAATCACACGAATTTACGCAATCACTGAGTTTTGAATTTAGTTTTGAAAGTGCAGAATTTATCTTTTTTGCATATATAAAACCATTAAAATTTGTAACATTTCTATGTATGTAATAGTTTAAGCTCATTTACATATAAAAATATTTTCATCCTTTGAAAACTTCGTTATTATTATTATTATGTATAATAATTCGTATGGCAAATATATTGTATTTAGTTTAAATATAAGTTTACTTTTTAAACATTTAAAATATGCATATGTGTGTGTACCCTCATCTATAAATAAACGAAATTAATTCAACAAATATTTTTGAAATATTTTTCATTTACTCACCACTCCGGAACTGGCTTCACCTTGTGTCGCTGAACACCTAAGGGGCACACCTAGTGGGAAATTTCAAGAAAATCGATCTTTTTTCATATTTCGGCCGCTCGGCAGCTTGAGAGTCTCATTAGCTACGAGTGAAAAGGATCTTCAAACTCATTTTTTTCGAAAAATCGTTTCCGAATTTACTCAAAAACAAATGATCCGATCACTATCGAATTTTTTTACATGTTCTATTGCTCCGTACAATGAGCTATCGATTTTTGATCTGATCAAAAAATCGAAATTTGGCAGGCCAAAAACGACCAAAATTTTGGGTAAAATTCGACTATTATTTTAAACGTCGCCATATTGACAATTTTTGATTTTTTCATCGTAGGTCATTGTACAGACAATATTATCTTATCGAGAATTTTTTTTTAAATTTCATCCACGGAGATGGCCGGAATCACTGCAGCAGTGAAGGACATTTTTTTCGCACCGTTGGAGATCGACTATAACTTAAAAAATATTTAAGTTTTTTCTTCAAAAATTTCACTGTATATTCTTGAAACATGTATGAATATATTCTTAAAATTTTGAAATAATTGATAACTTTTTTTTTTAATGAAAATTCTCAAAAAACACATTTTTTAGGCCATTACACTAGGTGTGCCCCTTAAGGAAGCAGACGATGGTAGCGCTACTGTTGGCTCTACAATGAACGCGTAGGCGCTACCTGTCGCAATCAAGAAGTACTAGCCTCAGAGAGTAATTACGCTGAAGAATACAGAGAGAATATCGGATCGATTATAAAATTTTGATTTTCGGAAATAAGACATTTTTTTATTCGTCAATTTCTGTTTTGTCTATTGCGAATCAGTTCTGCTACTTTCTCTTTTCATCAACTTTATATAAGGAAACTGTGGAACGGCATATCAAACTTCCTACGTATCGCCGCTTCGTTTAATTTTCGGCAGCGGCAGAAAGAGAGCTGATACGGTAGGAATATCGAACGCAGTAGAGAGAAAACCTTACGATCGACCATAACACGTGCGGGGTGGGATAGATATCTATAGCTCAAGAAGGAGTAAGACAAAATTACTGGCGAAAGTATAGAGAGATGCCGAAATGCGTGAGTAAGAGGATCTTGAGAAGCTGGTCGATGTTGTTGTTGTTGTAGCGGTTCACTAACCCCACTTAGGCACAGGTTTGATTAATCTAAGTCGCTGAGGTTATCTAATGGGAGGTCCAGGTAACGAGCTGTTTCGACGGGGTCGGACCAAAGGGAGGCGGGGGTTAAATGAGTTGGTTTGAGAGGGCATGTGAAAAGGTGGTTAGTGTCGTGCGGAGACTCCTCACATGCAGGACATACGTTGGGTATGCGGAGCTTAGTCTGGATAAGTAGGAGTGTAACCTGCTACAGCAGGGAGTCCTTGAAGCAGAAGCTGGGGGTAATGCTTGAACATTTTATAAAAGGATGCTGCGACTAACAGAAGAACTCAATACATAAATAACTTCATGCAGGAACCAAGGAGCATACTTCGTGTATGGTGAGAAATGAAATTGATGTCATCGGCCTCAATAACCGCGCCATTAGTTTTGCTGTCTCCAAGCTTGGCATAGAAGCGAAGCGAGTAAGTCTGGTAGTAAACGATATATCTGCAGTCATCAAACAAACTGTTGGCACACTTGCGGCTTAGCTACCATGCTTCTGTTGATAGTCATAACTTTAAGGTCGTAGATAATTTCGTCTATCTTAGTACACTAACAACAATGCGAGCCTTAAAATCCAACGCAATCATCACTCTTTCCCACAGGTGCTACTGCAGGCTGAGTAATTGAAAAGCAAAATCTTCTCTCGATCAACCAAAATCAAATTCTATTAGGCACTCATAATTAGCGTCCTACAGATGAGGCGGCCTTCAAAAGGTTTTACGAACGATTTATAGTCCTTTAGCTATTGGCAACGGCGAATACCGCAGACGATGGAGCGATGAGCTGTTTGAATGGGTTCGGACTAGAGGGAAAGAGAATTAGATGTGTTGCAAAGAGGTGCTTAATGTCATCAGGTCATAGTCGATTTTAGCACCTAGATCTCAATTGTGTCAGTATCTCCAGGCAGCTCGCGCTGCTCGTCTGCTATGGATGATGTTTCGATTTCGTGAGCGCCATTCACTGTAAGAGAGTTCAAGAAAATTTTAACGAGATTTCAGTGAATGGCCTCTAAAGCGGGTCGGTAAACTGCTCTTTTCAGCGATCCTTGTACGTCGTGCTGAATGCAGTGCCTAAAGTCGAGGACTCAATTCCTGATGTTCCCAGATGCGCAAGTGAAACTATGTTGCGCTCCTAACGTGATCCTTCTAACGAAGTAGAGATTGTAGAGGTAATCTGCTTCCACAAAAGTGTATTGCATCAAACTCTTTCATGTTTTGAGTGATTACATCCATTCGAATGACGTGACCTAGTCAGACATTGGCTCTTAATTCACTGAACTACGAGTATGTCGATGTTGCCGTATAATTCCATTGTCTGTGTGTATTATACCATGGCCAACGCGGGAAGGACCATAAATTGTTCACCAAACTTTCTCTCCAATACTATCAAAGCTGACTTATCGCTTGCCGATCTCGATCATCTCTCCGCTTCTTGTAGCAAGGGGAATAATATGAGACTTGTAGAGCTTGCATAGAGCTTTCAAATGCCTACTCAGCCCATAGTAAAACCCGTTGGCAAGGAAAGTTCTGCGTTGGGTTGCAATTAACAAAAGATATTTTTCAAAAAAAAATATTTACAGATTTAATTTATTTTATTTTTAATATTTTATATTTAATAAATATCAACTCATTTGATGACAACGAATTAAATTTAAAAAAGAATATAACAAAAATTTAACGATTAAAGGCACAAAAACCATTTCACTCGCTCGATGGAAATGCATTTCAATGCTTAAATATTAAATTGCAACCAGTTTGCAGGGTTCGTCACCGTTATCTGCTCGACATCCTCGACGGAAACACCACGGGCAAACATGCGTGGCAAAATATTCATGTGAACATGATGGTAGCCATGGCCGCCATAGGAGGTCTGCAAGAAAACTCATTTTTATTCATTTTAACTTTCGCAAATGCCATGCACTTACCAGACGATGTTTCGTATGTATGTCATGAGACAATAAAATCCTATTCACCAAACCCTCCTCCAGCAATTTCAAAACATTCGCAATACGCTGACCATCCGAAGGCATATCAACCCCGGGATTTAATTGATAGAACGAACACTCAGTGCCGAAGAGATCGTACTGTATGTAGCTGCCCAACTTGGCGAACTCCAGCACTTGATCGATATCCAAGAGAGTGCCTAAGAGCAGTAAAAAAACAAGTGTGAGTTAAAAATTGTAAACTCCTGCAGGGTATTCCTTTCAAACTCACGATCCACATGCGACATAATGGCTTTATCGGCGCGACCGCCCGCCTCCAAATAGAGACGCATTATTTCGAAAGGCGCCTCGGCATCACGACCGGGATGGAGGGAAACACCACAGCCGAGCACTTCTTGTATTTCTCCAGTGGCACGTATGGCGTGCTTTTCAAAGTCTTTTCAACGCAAAAATTATATGAAAATAAAAAAAAAAATAAAAAAAATAAACTTAAAATAAACTCAAACTACTCACCATGCAATGGATAAACGCTGCCCACTTCACCGATATAGCCACACTTCACCATGCCCACACCCTCCACCTCAACACCAGTGATAATTTCGCGCGAATACAAGTCCGTCATTTGCTCTACAGTCATATTCAGATGATCTTTCTCCTGCAAATTATGCACATAATGCCCGGTACCGGCAATGATATGCACGCCCGTGCTCTTCGCCACATCCACCATATGTTCCAAGTTACGTTTAAGTCCATGCGAACTGTTCTCCACAATCGCACCGCCACCGAATTTCTTATACAAATGAATATCTTTCTTAACCGCATCGCGTGCCTCCCCATCGTAGAAGTGTATGTTTTCGTGCGATGAATAGGGATACTGACGTACAAAGCCCACAGTTTCGAGACTGATCTTTTGCTTCAAATAGGTTTTGAACTCCTCTGGTGGTTCACAATAGAAACCCTCGAAATCCACTCCAAGATGTTCATGTGTGAGCGTACGACCCAATAGATTGGGATCGATGGCACCGAGGACTGAAAGTGGGGGATAAAATAAATTGTTACGAAAGTAAATATAAAAGCAAGATAGGGAAAACCCATTAGGTTTCTTGAACGTATGACAACTCTCTCTATCGGTAACTAGAGAATTTTGATTTCTTACTTCACAAACCCTTTTTCCTAAAACAAAACTTCTCTATTATGAAGGGATCATCACTGTTAGTTAGGCCATCAAGCAGGCTTCAGTCATTGCACTGATACAGAATGGATTTAAATATGTTTTACACCTTTCACGAGACAACTGATATATGGTGAAGGCATTCCACTCCTTGTTACTCCCAAATGGTGAGGAGGGCCGATAATTATCCTGGGTTTATTAACAATCAGTATAATTTCAATATGAAGAATTCAAAAGAAAGTAGACGGTTTCATAGGCACTTCAGCCGATGATCTTCAATTTCGGCGTCGAACAATGGAATTCATGAAGCTCTTGTTTAGACATAATATCTTTAATTTATCTCGCCTTTTCACTGTCGACGTCACCATACGTACCACACACACCAAATGATATTAGACTCCGATTGTACGGAATGAATACGAAAAACTTCTTACCATTGTCAGATCAACATCTAGATAGTTTTATTCTTAATGCTATCGGTCTTCGGCAGAAGGTGGAGAAATGAAATCTGCTCATTAAAGCCTTTCAGCGATTTGAAACTGGCCTTAAACTGTAAGACATTAGAACCCATATTCCAAGTTTAAAAATAAGCCCGGCCAAAAGTTGAACAAGCGATTGTATGGTACAGATTATTTATTTTAAACTAAGATTTCTGCAGCGCTTGAAGAGGGACAGAGATTTTGCTAAGCCGGTCTGTAATAACCGAGTGTGGCATGCTACGGTTATGTTAGAGGAACACAATTATAGGAGTCTCAGATTTGTCCTTACATGCATAGACAGGAGGAACTAGCCACCCTACCATAATAGCAGAAGATAATACAACTTCATTTACGTGGGAACCAGATTCAACACAAAAAACTATGTCGCCCAGAAATCTGACGTGGAATAACTCTCGCTAACGAATGCTACTTTGGACTGAGTTTGCCTATTGAAAAGTAAAGTCCTCTCTCGATAGGCAAATGCCAAACAGTACCAGTTGCTCCTCATTACCGTCTTCATATATGGTGCAGAAGAGTGAACTTTGATAGCATCCGATGGGTTGGTAGTACGATAGAAATGTTTTACAAGGAGGTTTTGTGAAAGATCTATGGTCTTTTTGTACTAGCGATTACGAGTACCATAAAAAAACAGTCCTGGTAGTTGAAAAGGATGAGAAAGATGAAGATTTCCACTAGGTTTGGAAAGATCAACTAGAAAGCGAGCTGACTTCATTTGGTATAACCGATCTAAGACAAAAACTTCTGGTGCGTTATTGTTGATTTGACTACAATCTCATAAGCCGAATAAGACTAGCGTTGGTATTTATCGCTGATGTATAAAGAGCTCAAACGGATGATTGAATAACTTCTCGTAAGGTAATAGCTTTATATTTACTTGATGAGCTTTCAAAATTTAAATCCCAGCTGAACAGCTAATTGGTTTAATAACGATAAAAAGATTTACTAGCTCTAGTCCTTCCCATTTTCTCTTTAATCCGCAGGTAAAGCAAAGGCAGAAATACCTTAAGAAACGAAACAAAAAGACACTGAGGAGGCGACACAGTCTGTTTTCTAAAGAACTTCATCTCATAACCTTGTATAACTGCTACGACGACAGTCAGATAATCAAATAGATCATGAAACATCTCTAAGAAGAAAGACGCGAAATTAAGTTTTCAGAACACATCAAGTAGCGAAACTGTAGTCCGAGCCCTGGGAACAAGCATGGATCTTAGTGGAAAATGCGCCTCCTCATAGATTCCATACAGTGGACACCGAAGACTGTTGCTGTTGCTGTTGGGAAGCAGAGTATCAAAGAAGACCAAAAGGGGAATGAAGATTTTACGGAATGGTCATTGGCTTGAAGCCGAAGAACTATCAATCACTTTGCAAGCTCGGAGCATGAGCGAAAACAAGATGGACACCGATGCTAAGCCAGTGTTTGGTGTGCTCTATGGGCAGAGGGAATTAGTGTTCCGTATATCTTCAAAGCTCAAACCGGCCATAACGTTACAGTCAATGTAGAACGCAATGATTAATTACATTTTGCTGACTGGATTGGAGGATATTGATGTCAACATCCTTTGTTTCCAACATGCCGTATAACAAACAATCAATTTATTGACGGAAACTTTTAGTGAGCGCATATCTCGCATCGTGGGCATGTAGTGTGGCCTCCTATGTGGTGCGATTTAACACCGCTGGACAATTTTTTGTCAGACGGTTGCCCACGCAAAAAGGCCTGGGACGATTGACGATTTTGAAAGAAAACACTCGGCGCGTTATTGCTGGGTCGAATATTGAGCCTCCCGTCGGGAATTAATTCTAGTCAGGCGATAGTCACTGGGCTGAAATCATTCTTATAAAATACTGGCAAGTCCTTATCTTCACGCTCTATCAAGCTCTGTAAATCAGTTCGTTATATGAAAGATGGAAAACTCTTGCAGCTTGGACTAAACTTAAATAACTGCAAATATATGTGTTTCTTCAGAAAATCTTTCCAATCCTTTGCCTATATGATACCTAATCACAATGTTGAACCACTTACTGACTACATTGATTTAGGTGTCCCAATGGACCCTAAGCTAGTTTTTCAAAATCGAATAATTTCTTGTGGTATTAAGTCAAAAGGCGCCTTAGATTTCATTAAACGTTCGGAAATTCAATTTGACCGAGCTGCTCCTCCAATTTTCGGTTTTGCGTCTTGAAGTTTTTCCAACAAATGGAGAGACCTAGAGTTCATACTAAGCCGCCTCCGAACGGCTGATGATTTTTTATGAGGAGCCTTTATTTCATGTCAGAAATACACTCGAAGGGTATGACAGTCCCTGCCGAGGGACGACCTCAATTAGAAAGTTTAACTTAATTTTTTATTTCAATGACCGATACATTACCAAATTACTCTTTATTTAACTTTGGAGTATGGCTAAGCTGGAGTCCCTCACTATACAAAAGCAAGCAATTTCTACAATTTAAGTTAAGAAATTTAAGCAGAGATGCGAAGAGAACCTGCCTGTCTACGAAATAATAAGGGTACGGCTAATTGTCCTGGCTACACTTCATAGTCATGGAAAGATTATTGGATTTATACTTTTAACTAAATTGATAAGAGGCGTTATCAAAAGCTCATTCCTACTAAGCGCACTTAACTTTGCAATAATTTTAAAATTATCTAGACACTTTAGGCCCTTTTCATTGCGTTCATGCAGAACAAACTTTGAGATGCAAGAACATTTTAGACGAATCTTTGTGAAACGTTTTCAATACTCATGCAGCCAACATCGATTCCTACGACTCGTGTTTCTATATCTAAATCTACTTCCTGAGGCCATTAAATATGATAGTTAATTAATTTCCTACTCTTGTTTTCATGCGATTTTTAGCCGCTGCTGAGCTGTTTAGTGTGAAAGGCAAGTGTAACAGCGACCATCCGCGTTCGTTCTCGGGATCAGGGCCTTATGAATTATCACTGATTTTCGATCAGCGGTCTGTTGGATTTTTGAATTATACTTCAGACGCGCCCCACAGTCGATTGTGCGGGAGGTGGGTAACGATGGGTTCGAACGATTTTTTGTTGTAGTTCGAAATATTTGAATTTAGTTGCTATTTTGGCCTAAATTTTATGCAACAGACCCATCACTTAATTAATCCTTTTTATTAAAAATTTAAATGAATATTTTTTCTTTATTTTGATGATTTAAAATAAACGCCTTGAGAAAAAATATTATATACAACGCCAGCAAGTTAATCTTGTTTGTGTTGTTGTAATGCAACCGATCATGTGATAACAAGCCAACGACACAAAAAATGGAAAATTAATTAATTAAACACAACTTGTTTGCTAGAGTAAACAATATAAAACAAAAACAATATAATTTTCCTCACCGGTTTGAACAATTGGCATTTTCACTTTTATCCACAGAAAAAACGAAAAGAAAAAAATTAAGTAAAAAAACAACAAATGAAGTAAAATTTTATGTCAACTTAAAATTGATTAAGAACCGATCGCTTTCGCTGCTTCTCTAATACTGTGCATGGACGGCTTCACTAAACTCTCAATGAGATACTAACTCGAAAGTTAAGTGACGAAAGCAACAGACAACAGACCAACGAAAGAAAAATCCAAAACAAACATACAAAAATAGGAAAAAAATACAGTTAAAGATTAAAGCAGAAGATGCAAATAAAAATTATGATAAAACAACAATACATTGTATGTACATACATACTGCTCGATGCAATTACACTCATACCTCGCTATACGGCCTCGATAGGTTACACGAAAATTGGCCGTAAATTCATATTGGATTATGCACTTACCCATCAGTTCGTGCCCGATTTCAAAAAAAAAATTGAAATTCTTTGAAGAAAGCGCTTTTATTAATCAATTATGTATTCGCCATCATGTTCGGCAATCCACTCCCAACGTTCAACCAATTTACGGATGCCTGATTCATAGAAATCGCGCGGTTTCTCGTTGAAAAAGGTGTCAAGGTGGTTTTTGACGTCTTCCACATTTTTAATTTTTTTCCATTCAAATTGTTCTGCAGCGATCGATAATCAGAAGGTGCAATGTCGGGTGAATATGGGGTATGCGGCATGATTTCCCAATTCATCTCCTTCAGTTTGGCCAGGGTCGATTTTGCAACATGTGGCCTGGCGTTGTCATGATGGAAAAGAGCTCCTTTGCGGTTGGCCAAAATCGGACGTTTTTCATCAATTGCTTTCTTCAATTCGACCAATTGCTGACTATACTTGTTGGCAGTGATCGTTTCTCCAGCTGGCAAGAGCTCAAAATAGATCACGCCTCGGATATCCCACCAAATGCACAGCAGTACCTTCATCGGATGCAATCCACCTTTCGCCATCGGTTCCGCCCCTTTTGCGTTGAACATTGTTGTACAGGTTCCTTTTTCATCACCAGTCACGAGTCGATCGTTTTTGATCCGTCGAAGCAAAGAAATTCCTTCCTTAGAACATCGTCATCAAGCTCAGAAGGCCGTCCACTGCGAGGTTGATCTTGACATCTTTAGATAATTTAGATAAATTTCTACGATGCCCAGGTGTATTACCAAAAATTAGCAGACCCATATTGCTTAAGTTATTGTCACGCAAATATTTTTTTTACTTCTGTATAAAAGGGATTTTTGAACCAATCTTCAAAAGTTCCCTTGGTCATTCAAGCTTTCTTGTTAGATCTTCACATGACGAGTAATTGATTTTCATTAAATCATTGAAAAGGCCTTGGATTTTCGGACACATTTATCAAAAGTGGTTTTAGCTTAAAATTACCCGCGGCATTTGCGCCGTGCAGCAGGATTAATCGCTCCTTAGACACATTATACCGAGGCGTAAAATTTTCGGATGTTGAAATCTACGTGCGATCAGGCATTCGCTTCCAATAAAGCCATGCCTGTGTCTATGTTAAACACTTGCTCAGGCTTATAACCACCTTTTTCAATTATGCCTTTTAAGATGTCGGGATATTCCTTAGAAGCGGCCTCATCGATGTAAGTTGCTTTACCACTCATTTCCAACATATGCAAATTAAATCCGTTTTTCAATTTTCGATCCATCCTCGGCTTGCTGGGAATATAAAATCTTTAGAAAATACTTAAAGCCTTTTCCTCAATAGTCCTTTTACTTATTGGCATTCTCCGTTTGTTATTGTCCTCAATCCATATAATCAAGGGTGTTTTAAATTTTTTCCTTATCAGCTTTTTTGACGTGTTAATCTTGAGGCATTTGGAAGTGCTACAGGTTGCAAATATGTTTTTGTTTATTCTTTTTTATTGCGGTTGGTTTGAATGGTAGATTTCGAAAGTCCCCTTGGTTTACAAACCTCAACAATTTTCTCTCCAGCTGCTACACGGCGTGATACTTCTCGGTTATTTGCCAGCGTGACTGAGTTTCGGCTTTATTTTTATCAGTCTCTGAAGTGGATAATCATTTCGGTGGCAAGATTTTGGACATTATAGCGAAACATTCTAGGCCGTAAAGCGAAAAGGCCGTTATAGCGAGGTATGAGTTTATTAAAAGACTTGACATTTTATTTGTGGGATATATTTACATACTTTGTGTTATGATAAGAAAACGATAATCACATAGAGACCCAATTGGAAATTAATCATTTGTTTATTTGTGTAAAACTTTTGCCCTATTTCTTCTTATTTATTTTATTTTTGTTTGATTAAATAAATTAAATTAGTCACGTATGCCACATCTGCACCTTTCTCTTCTACAACCAGTGGCCACAGGGTATATATATTCTTTTTTATGAATATCAAGTAAAATGTGCAAGAATATGAGAAATGCCAAAATATCAATTAACGCTTACTTGTAAATTACTTTACTTTTCATGCAGCTTAAACGAAAGGCAACAAAATTTGCATTAGAAAGATTGTCGGCTTTCGATGTGAAAAGTTCTGCTGAATTACGTACAATAAAGCCGGCACGGCATTCCACGAAGCAGTCAGTTCGTTCATCTTTTGCGATTATGATTTTCTTCAAACTTTTGAGCGAAATGAGGTAAAAGCTGAGTGCGTCGCTAATGTTGATAAGAGAGACTATGCCTGATTAACGCACTTACAACAGATGTTGGACCTAAGAGAGTGGTATCTAACAGTCCAGCACCTTCTGCCGCCAAAACATCAAAGAAACCTTCGAAAATTATTAGAAAGCCGATGCTAACTCATGGGCTTCTACTGGAAATATTGCTTACGAACATGCAGGTACTATTTCCCCATCAACGGAAAGAAACAGCGGCAAAAAGGGGGCTCTGGATTTTTGTTTCAGCCTCCTGGACCTCATGCCATGGAAACAGCCTCAAACACCATCGAATGCTATAAATGTAGAGGTCCAAGGCATTTGACCTGCGAATCCGAACATAAGGAGAGTGATATGTAATTCAAGAACGTTATATTTGGTTGTTCCTTTTTCACTGTAAAGGTTTAAGATAAATAAGTTCTAATTATCTTTTCATTTCGAATAGTTTTCCTCCAACTTTTTCCATTTTTAGTCACTTTATTAAGTGTCAGGTGTCCATAACCTGTTACAACGTTTTTTTTTCTCAAATAATGGTCACTTCTCTAAATCGGCCAAAAATTTTTCTAATTAAAAGAATGAGCCTTTTGCCTTCGCTGATAATTAGCTAAGGTATATATACTTATGTTCGACTTTGGTCAAATAATAAGAAACGAAAAGAAAACATAAAGAAGTGTTGATAAACAAAAAAGTCTCCGCTCTTTTTTTAATTTGTTTTTTTTTTTAACAAATTTTTTCTTTATTAAGAAATAAATTTAATTAAATGCGTAATATGTAATATTATTATCTATGCCCTATTGGGATTATCGGCAAAAAGCTTAGTTAAATGAATTTCAGCGGCTCTTCGACCAATTTTTTTCACTAAGTGGGTTTTCAGAGATCGGAACAAATGGTATATGGTGGGCACCCCGTAAGTTTTCAGCTGTTCATCGAAGATTCATGTAGTTTGGTTGAAACACAACACCTTTTGCATTGATCAACAATTATTGAAGTACAAGTCAAAACTGAGCATTTCGCCAGTTTGGAACATAAGGAGAGCTCATAAAAGACAATTCCCTTCCAACTCCACCATATCATCAGCGTCACCTTGTTTGCTGTCGATTCTGACTTCAATCGCTTTTGTCGTGAGTCAATGACCTTTATAGTTTTTTGTCGCTCCTGAAGCGTGACATCGATATGCCATCAAAATATGTAAAATCAAAACATCGAGCTTCTTTGAGAACCGTCTCACTCATGCCGATAGTATTGATTTGATCAGCTTTGTTCAGATGGAATGGGTTGATGAAATATCTCCTTCCTCAATGTGTCAAGGCTTGGCAACCGCGATAGTGATCGTAGATAATTTCGTCTTTCTAGGCCAGCATCGACAGTAACAACAACGTCAGCCTTGAAATACAGTAGATTAAGTAGGCAAAGTAAAAATATGGTCTTTTCTCGAGTTCGTCACTCATAATTTTCAGCATAATTTAAGTTGTGGAAGTGTCGAACAATAACAACATGCAATGAGTCATCTTTAGAAACTTTTAGGAGAAAGGTTTTGCGAACGATTCCTGAACATGCGCACATTGCTAACGGGGAAGAAAGTTTAGCTGTAAGAGATATATAGCCACATTGACAGAGTTCCGAGTAAATAGAGAGCGGCTATGCTGACTGGATTATGTTTGCTATGTGCTTTGAAAGTTTTCGACACAGTACACGCCGGTGTAAGCAGAGGAAGAGTAAGGACTACATTCAGTTGGAAAGATTAGATGGTCAAGAACCTGTTTATTGGTGTTTCCGATTGGAGCCAAATGGGTAAAAGAAGAAACCTCACTGTTATAGTCCTGACCTACAGTAGCATCATCATACATATAATCATTTATCAAAACAATTAGACTGGTAAAAATTTTGATTCCGACTAGGTTTTTACTGATAAGTCATTTTGTTGATTTTTCGCTTCTGAAAGCCATAGCTTCTTCCAATATATAAATAAATATAATTTAAAAAATTAGCCCTCAACGTCTTTGAATCATCATTGATTTCTTCAAAGGACTCGAACCGGTTATCCCCCAAATAGTTTTGCATCCATCGAAAAAGCCAATAGTCGTAATGGGCAAGGTTAGGATAATATGACGGATGGGGCGAGACCTCCCGTTTCAGCATTTCCAGCTAGTTTTTGGCCGTCATAGCCACATGGGGGCGAGCGTTGTCATGTTGCGAAATCACCGCGCATTGCCTTACGGTCGATTCTGTCTGTTTTTCATGTAAAGCACGACTCAAACGCATTAGTGGTAGCCGATGACGTCTCACATCGCCTAAATGGCTCGAATTTTAATACGGTAAAGTCTCCGCATTCCAATTCGACTACTTTTGATGCTTGGAAACCGATCTCCGCACGACTTAACGGTTGGCGCAGATTCATCATACACTTCCGCATGCATTTCATGGGCTTCAGCTCCACTTTTATTGGCTTCAGCTCCACTTTTATTGAAATTAAAATCGAAAATCAAAGCTATTCGCAAATGTTGTTT